GTGAAGGGTGGAAATAGAATGGGAATGGGTGGCATGATCTGTCCAAAGTCATTTAGCGCCGCTTTTTCCTATCTGGCCAAAACAAATTCCCCCAAGGACCAAAAGAACATCTCCAAGGACAACAAGAAGAAGTGCAAGAGAAAGGAATCCGTACGTTCACAAGTTCTGGTTTGCTTCGAGAGTGGTCAAATGCACCAAGGCCTAACGCACGGAGTCGAGCGGGAAGGCACAAGGGCCTAACGCCGTTGCGAGATTAATAATAATAGGAAGAAGGTGAGAATGTTGGTACCTAAAATGACATTTTTTTGTTTTTTCACGTTTAAAATCTAAATGCAAATTTATTTTTAAAAACGCTTTTCATAGCAATTAAGGTAAGGTTATTGCGGTTCTTTTAATGTATAGTTTGTCTATGTTTGCATGTATCTGCATGCGCAAGAAGACATTTAAAGTTTCACAACTTCATGAACTTTTAAAAAGCTTCTTGCGCTTACAGATACATTCAATCATAAACAAACTATGTCTCAAAAGAACCGCAATGAACTAACTTAAATTGCTATGGAAAGCCTTTCTTTGATTTAATTCGAATTTAGGTTTTAAACTTGAAATATCTGTGTTTTGTGCCTAAATTTTTAAGGTTTCAGTCCTGTGTAACCTTAAAATAACGTTTTGTGCGAGAAGTAAGAAGTACCGAGTACAAAGGCAAGGTTAAGGTAGTGTTGCGGTTTCGCTTACGCGACAGGGCCACTTTACTTACCCAGCAACAACATCTCCAGCGAGCGTAGGAACCGAAAATTGTCCTCAGCGTTAGCTCGCGGCCGAGGTGAGCGGAGCTCTTTGTTCCGTGAGATGGACGATCCATCCTTATATAGATTCGTGGTGAGCAGTCAGCGCGCGCTGGCTGCGCACATGCACGATGGTGCGCGCGCCAGTTGCGCACCTGGGGACGAGCTTCCGAGGTTTCCGCTAGATGGCGTCGAATGGAATTTTTTAAAGTTTTCTCCCGATTCCTTTTACGGGTGTCTCTGAATAAAATCCCCGGGCGGCAAGCCATCAGTACCTTCCATCCTTCGGTCCTACCGAGGTATGTAGCAAAGTGGTCGGTTAACCGTGCCGGAGAATATCCGGATACTTTCGTTGCATGCCAAAGGGCTTCGAGGTGGAGGGTCATTCCCTACAGGTGTTACCTTTGGTAACGAAGCTTTACCCGTCCAGAACCTCTAGACCTTCTAGACTTCTTGGACTTCTAGATCTTCTTGATCTCCCAGTGAGCGGGATCGTCTCGGTGACGACCAGGCTGACTGTTAGGACTTCGAGACCCTCTAGAACTTCCATTCCTCGGCCCGATGTGGACTTCGAGACCCTCTAGAACTTCTAGCCCTCGGCCCGATGTGGACTTCGAGACCCTCTAGAACTTCTACCCTCTGGCCCGATGTGGACTTCGAGACCCTCCAGAACTTCTACTCTTGGCCCGATGTGGACTCCGAGACTTCTCCCGAGCTCCGAGAACTTCGAGATCTTCAATCTTCATCACATATTAGTTGGGTTCGCTGGCGCTCCCATCGGAGGCCAGAGGGTTGAGGGAATGACCTCTCCTGCTTACCGCGCCTAATCCTTTAAATTACACTGGCTAAGGCATGGCGGTCTGAGTAAGCGGGAGGCGCAATCAGCGACAGGCGCAGTCGGTCATTCCCCAGGCTTTGCATTGATGTGAGAACAGCCACCCGCCCTTCAAAACCATTCCGGTGCGGCATGCTGCCATACTGCGCCTTAATTTAAGCAGTGTAAAAAATCCTGTAAAATATTTTTGACTTCGTCTCATGCTTACATATTCGTTAATAAAAATAACGCAGTTTTAACACAAATTTGCAACGTTTTCAAAATTAATCAATGTTTATAAAAAATAAATAAAAAGAATACTTTTCAGATCACTTATCGTGTTAAACGTATTCACAAAATCAAAATGATTGTTGCTCGAATAATTACATCTGAGAAAGAAAACAACAATGAATATAAATGTATACCTATGCTTCAGCATTGTAAAACTGTCCGTTTAAGTTTTTCATGGCTTTGTGTTATACTTACATTTTCGTAAAAAAACATTTTAACACTTTTAACACGAGCTTGCAACTTTTACAAAATCATTAAATATTCGTAAGAAACGAATAGAAGTGAACTTTTCAAGACTTGAGATCTTCCAAAAATTTTGTCTTTAAATGTTTTTGGCCATAATAAATGAAGTTAAAACCATTGCATCTATAAAAGAATATTCGATATTACTTAAAACGTTTTACCTGTTTTAATGGGAAAAACAAAAACATGCATATACTCTCTGAAAATTTTCCATCAATTTACACATTTGATATGTAAAGAAGCCTTTGTAGAGCATCCAAAAATGGCAAAATATAGAAAACATCATCTTCGGCCACATTAATGTCTTGCTGTTCTACTTGCACATATGCGTTTTGGTTTGCAGCTTGCAAAACTTCTGCATAAATGTGATTCCGGGTATAGATGTTGTTGCCCGCCCAAAGCAGCTCCATGGTTTGCATTTACACGACCTTGATTTGGCCCTTCTTCAACCAAAATTTTCATTGCCTGTCTGCACTTAACTCTACTCAAGGCAACATAGAGCTGGCCGTGACACCACAATGGCGTTCTTAGGTACAGACCTTCTCTGATTAATGTTTGGCCTTGCGCTTTGCTGACAGTCATAGCATAGCATGGTTTCAGGGAAAACTGCCGCCTTCGCAGCTTCCCAGGGAGGCTGAACTCGTTTGATGTGAAGTTAACTCTAAAGATTGCAACAGTTTCTCCCTTCTTCGATCCAGTCATAACCTTGCAAACTACCAAGTTTGGGTACAATTTTAAAACTTTTAGCCGGGTTCCATTGCAGAGTCCTCCTCCACGCAAATTTCTTATGAGCATTACATTAGCCCCTGGAACTAAATGTAACCTGTGAGGGGGTAATGAGGCTGACTCTAGGTGATCTAAATAGTCCGGAGGGTAATGAAGGCGCTGCTCGTCTCGTGCATCTTGAAGTTCCCTTGATTTTTCGAGCGTTGTGGAACTTAAGTACACTCGGTCACCATCTTTGCCTCGCATGAGTCTGTCAAGGACTAACTTGTTTACGAAGTTTGCACAGTCATTAGTTGGGCACAATATAGCAGCGTCATGCGCATCCTCTTTATCAATATCTTTGCCAAAGCAGTGATCTATTAGTGTGGATACAGAGTTCACGAAACGCAAGCGTGATTTTCACGCAAGGCGTGATTTTTCACGCCAGGCGTGATTTTTCACGCTTCGTAAGCTTCACACAGCCAATCAGGCACCGTCTTTCATCACGCCTGGCGTGAAAATCACGCCTAGCATGAATATCACGCTCGCGTTTTGGGAACTTCGTATCCATCCTTAGTTTGTGTTTGCCATTGACAACCATGTTGTTTTCCAAGTGTATTTTTGTTGACGCCTCTTCATTGGCAGTTCCCTCACCCACCTTAAAATACAAACAGGGAAATACATTATTACAACACATCCGCAAACCTGTTAATATATTATCGCAAACACGTTACGTACTTTGAGAAGCCACTCCGCATATTCCTGATCCTCAAGTGCTCTTTGATTCCTTGTTAATTCATATTTCTCAAAGAGAGGCCAGAGGTTTGATGAAGTGACTGCAGCGTCGACGATGTCTGCCCTACTACCCCCGGGAACGACAGGTAGGATTTGTTTGAAATCTCCCCCTAAAATTATGATTTTGGACCCAAAGGGTTCTTCCTTGCGCATCAAATCACGTAGAAATCTATCAAGAACGTGAAGATGCCAACCTTGAACCATAGAGATTTCATCCCAAATGATGACATTTGCTTCCAATAGATTTTTGGCCGCTGAACTCTGAAGTTTTAAATGGCTTCTAGAGAGGCCTAATCCCTCGTCTTCAAAGGGAAGGCCAAATGCCTTGTGGCTCGCCAGCCCCCCTTTTAATAAGTTTGCAGCGACCCCTGTATACGCGGCAACAACAGCCTTCTTGCCCCGGGAACGCAGGAAGTCGATGAGAACATTGTAGGTGTGTGTTTTCCCGGTACCTCGAGCACCGGTTAAAAAGAACTTCTTTTGATTTTCATTAAAAACAGCTCCTCGGACATCTTCAAAGAAATGACGTTGTTCAACGTTGAGCCCATTTATTAATTCGTCGGCTGCCTCCGGGTTAAGGATAATATCTTCCTCGACATGTTCGATGTTTTGGCGGGCAAGCACATCATCATTAATATCAGGAAGCTGGTAGTCTGCAAGTGTTTTGCCAAATTCATCAAGGATCTCCGCTATATCTCGCAAAGCTAATTGAAAGCACAATTCATCATCATCATAGATTTCGTGTAGATGATCCTCAGCCATTTTGTGCTTGTAGTTGTCCCACAAATTCGTGGGGTTAAGAGGATTTACATTTACCAGCAGCGTGGCAAATGTTTTCCTTATGGTGCTCGGAAATTGTTCTAAGACTAACTCGTCCATAAGCAGACGCATTTCCTCCTCATTTTCTACCAAGTTGAGAGCAACACATGCAGCTTTGAAGGTTGGATGAACCTGACCTTCTACAGTTTTTATATTGTCAAACCCAGTGACATCTGTGCGATTACACAACAGAAGTCTTAAATGGTATAACTCTGAGTTGAAATCTGTGCCTACAAATGGGCTCAGGCGTCCGATTGTGTGCCTGTTACTGCGTTTCCAAACTTGATCCTCATACTTGTAGTTTTCCACTACATCCTTATAAACTTTTCCTCGGTGAGGGCCTGGCCGTCTGTTCAGCTGAAACCACGCTGTTAACTTCGAATTTTCGTGCCTTTCTAATGCACCCTGTTCAGCACCATCTCTAAAGATGATGGTTTGTTGAAACTCTTCGTGGACAAGTTAAACCTCGACTGGTGGATATATATGAGATTGGGAGGTGCCCATCACATAATAATGGGCCTCATAAGGTCCCATATGACGCATTTCTTTGAATTCCTTGATTTCATCGTGGTCGTACACACCTCCCTCAGGAACATTGTTAATTTTTTGAACCAAGGACGTTCGCACCTTATTGCCGAAGCTGCCTTTCAGGAGATATCCATTAAAGTATTTGCAGCCTGAAGTGGATGGGCTGTACCTAACATTAAGGTGTCCCTTGTAGCGCAACAACAACACTACATTGTAATCAATGACCCATCTATTGTCAACAAATACATCTGCACCATTGATTCTCTTGAAGAATCCACGCCCATCATTAGGTCGCCGAGATAAAGGCCTCTTTCCTGAAATATCTGTTGTTTCTCGAAACTGAAACGGAAACCCATGCTTGCATTTCCCGTTTTTAGCCCGCCCTTCTGCTTTGAAAAAGCTATCCAGCGGGCTTATGCTAACGACCTCGTGTCTGTCTGTCTGTGTGTCTGTGTGTCTGTCTGTTCCACTAGAAGGAGATGTGCTAGAGACTTGAAATTTTCGGGGTATCTTAAGGTCCACTTCTAGAGAACGAAACGCCTACGGCAAATTCTGGCAACCACGCCTAAGGGTGTGAATGGGGGTATCCAAGGTTCGAAAATTCTTCGAAAAAGTAAAAAAAATTTATGTTCCTCTAAGGGGTGACTCGTCAAAGTAGAGCCCTTTGCGCGAAAATTTCGTCCGTTTTGCTCTTTCTCTAACCGTTTAGGCGCTGGATGGTCTGTTTTGACGAAAATAAGCTTAAAATTGCCATAGTGAACAATAAGTTGTAGAAAAAGGCCTAAAAACCGCAAAATAGAAAGGAAACTCTTCCCCTACCCCTAAAAACGTTTTCTAAGCAGAAGGGTGGGTTGTAGTCGCGGTGCTTCACCGTTACATCCCTTTCGCGACTCTTTGGGGCAAACTCAAAGACGTCGGGTTTCAGCGGGCCGAAGGCCCACTACATCATTCGATCATGTTCTTCAGCAAATCGCGTGACAGAAATGGTCGGGCCGCAGGCCCGACCATCGCCGCCGGCAGGCCCAGCAGGCCCGGCCCCTGCCGAACGGAGTTGCCGGCGGAGCGAAGTGGAGCTGGCAACTTCGTTTGGCGGAAGGGCGGGCCTGCTTGTTCTTGTGGCAAGAAGATGATGCATCGCATGGGCCGTGAACCATAAATCTCTTTATGGCGTGTCCTCTGGACGCATAATATACAATCCATGTGTGTGGGTGAGTCCTCTTCCTTGAAATTCGCGGACAGTCATTTCACCAACAACTTTCCCGAAAATTTGCTCCCACACAATGTCAGAATATAGCTGAGTAGCTCTCATTTCAAATGCCCTGTTTATCACATCGTATCTGTAATTAGGATCCGTGTTCGTCCGATAACACTCATCAACAATCTCCTTCCATTTTCGGTTACAGGTGAGAGTAATCATCCATGAAGGATGCCCAAGGTTTTGGGAGACGGCCAAAGCGTCATAAAACAGATCTTTCATGTATCGGGGGGTTCCACAGATGCCTGGAGGTAGGACGACAATCTTGCCAATACGTCTGTTTTGACGCATTCCTTCCTCTCTGATATATTTTTGCAAAGTCTTGTAACTGTCAGCTTTTAATTCACTTTGATGAGTGGCTCTGTAAGACAGCCATTCATAAATAACCTTAAAACCAGCATTCAGCAAATATAGGGCATATAATTTCTTTAACCTAGGCAGAATTTCATATTCTGAATCTCGGATGGCGAGTCGATACCGGTAATATTCTGCCAATGATGGGACTCTGTTACCTCGAAGGGCTGGTTCTCGGAACTCTAAGTGTGATGTCTCACCATGAATATAGATCAATGGAAACATTTGCATGTCCATAGTCCTTTTGCTCGGAACCATAGCACCTGGGCCATGCTCATCTTCCCTTCGTTCCCTGGGAAAGTACATTGCGTCGCATGACATAGGTGGCAATCTGCCGGTGAAGACAGCACCTATGCCATCCGCGACTGGTGTTATTGAATACTGGTTGCCACGCAGCAATCTGTTAACATAGTCGTCGCCGACTCTTGTCACCCTCGTGTTAGGGTCTTTAGGATTTATAACTAAAACAACGTCACGCATTTCTCTGCCCTCATTTCTGCCCTTTTCTTCTTCACGTTGCTGAAGTTCTCGAGTTGTTTGGAATGCACGTATGAAATGATTGTGAGTTCTTAGGTATCTCTCAAGTACACCAAGTACTTCGTCGCTCACATCCTCTGTATACGACAGGCCCTGTCGGCGTTGTTCGAGTATCTCCTCTTCAGTATCATTAGAAAAGTCCAAGAAATAAACTTGGCCATGGTTCGGTGGTCGTGTCTCGTCGCCCGGGTCTCTGTAGGCATGGTTATGCCACTTCACCTCCCCATTCACTTTGAGTGACATAAACCATACTGACGGGCACCAAGGTTTAAAAACTCTCCAGCTACAAAACACGTCGCAAACAACTTGTTGTATTTTAGTATCAGTTTTTGAAATTGCTTAGCGCTTTCACTGGTGCCCGTCAACATTTCGTAAATTTCATTTTCAGGTCTTCTGAAGACCCCACTATCAGGGAGTTTAAACTTGCCGTACGTACAGCACGTTAGACCCGCCTCTGCCCTAGCACGGGTTAACTCCGCCTTCCAGTACTTCCCACCACATTGGGGACAAAGCTCGTCACATGCTTCAAAGTCAACCTCCTCGACTTGACTTAAATCTTCTCCTCCATAGACTGCACCAACTCTGTATGTATCCCGATTGTGAGTAACACGGCTCTGCAATGGCTTCTTGTTAAATTTTGTTGGCAGCCTATTTATGTTCCACATGCCATTTGGCCGGTTTTGCAATGCGGCAGGCCCATTTTGGGCAGAAAGATTTCTCTCTTCTTGAGGTTGCCGAACGCCTGGATCATCAACATCCCACTCCTCATCGAATGGTACGTCAAATGGGTTGAATTCTTCACCACCCAAATCTTCGTCGGAAGATTGGACATCAACATGCTGAGGTATTTCCTCTTCGTCGTCCGACAGATGAAAGACAAACTCGAATTCACTTTCATCGTCCTCTGAATTTGTGGCGGGGTTCTGAAGCTCACTCATTTCATTTCCTTGACGGAATAAAATCTTAAACCATTACATCTAAAGACAAAACACGCAAAAGGCATTTTTAAAGAAAGTGTATAAAAACACAAAATTTTAACATGATCCATCACAACCTGGCACTTAGTTTGCATACTTACTAATCATATAAAAGCGGTCACAAAATGCTTAAGAGCATTGACATCCACATTTAAACATGTGTATAGCCTGATGCATAGAGCACACCCATATTAAGAGATCAAAGATCATAAATAACGTGACCCACACATTTCCATGGACCAATTGGATGGGATCTTGCTATATATCAATCTAGAGAATGAAGCAGAAAAAGGTTAAAATATAAAAATAAACAATTTAAAAATTTCTACCACAAACTGGCTGTTTTATCACATACTTAGCACAAAAGCAAGTCAACACACACTAAAACATTTCTCATACCCAGAATATTTAGCGTGCAAAACACTTCAACTTCAAATATTTCTCAATTTAATACACAATGTTCACAGAACGACGGTTTAGTCTAAAAAACAGAAATCAACAAATCGTAAGGTTAAGCATATTTTACCTTTCTCATTGTTTAGAATAAATTTAACAGTAATGAAAAGGTTCCAATATACATATACAAATTTTAAGCAGATACCATGACCTTAGTTAAACTTTCAAAAGATTAAAGAAAATGATCGCAAAATGCTGATTAGCATTGATTTTCCTGCCAGAAGACTTTCTATAGCCTGACCTCAAGTGTAATGAACACTAACCTGATGAGGGTACAGGTACAGTAAACCTGAGTTACCAGAGACGACCGGCATTCCATGGAACGATTTTACTTGCCAGCAAAAACTGAAGTTCAATCTGCAACAGCCAAAAATATTTTTTTTAAATAAATTGCAAGCTAAGCACATTACAGTGCACCTTACAAAAGCATAGCGATATCTAAGTAAGTAAAGAGGCAAGAATGTGGCCTTTCTTGTATGAAAAGGTTCTGTTTTGTTTGTCACTTTAATTGAATCCTAATTATCGCCGCGAACGTCATGGCAGGGACCCAAGATCATTTAAGATCGTGACTGTAAAATTTTGGCCATTCATAGCCAGCAGTACACGAACAACGATGAGTGTTGGTAAATAAAAGCAGTGTTGTTTAATAATTTATAAGGCTCAATTTACTTAATTTTTCTGTTAGTTAAGAACTTAAATGTCCTTGTAGTTTACTGTAAAGGCCTAGCCAATACATATATTGTGACAAATTTGCGAAAACAAACTTAATTATCCTCTGTTTTTTTTTCTACGACCTAATACTTCCGTTCGATCATGTGAGATAAAATAAAGAGGAAAGACCCCAACAAAAAGTGAACTTCAATCTGCAACAGTCCAAATAGAAGAAAATCTGGTTTAGAAAAAGGAACTTCAGTGTGGCAATGGTGCACCCTATAGAATTATAGTTCTTAAAGTTTTTTGCGAGCAACGATCAGATTCTGTTTCGTTGTGTAATTGATTGTAGTAAAAAAGAAAGGGTTTAATCAAAAGGAAAGAACAAAATATCTAAATACAATAGACTTAAAAACAAATTCGGAATAAAAATCATCTGAAGAAACATCAGATTTTACCAATCTGATTCTTACTAACAGCTTACATTAGGTGAAATTCCACCTGGTGGTTGGTGATTCACAATACTAATGAAGCCGGAGAAAAATAAATTGGAAAGACCACAACAAAAACTGAACTTCAATCTGCAGAAGTCCAAAATAAAGAATATTTGGTTTAAAAAATACAATTTGTATTTGACAGAAAACGGACGGCTCGCAAGCAGCTGAATAATTTAAGATGTCTTTACCATGGTCGCAAGACGACTGTTGAACCTGGAAACGCAAAAAAAAGCAAAAGTTAAATTTGAGCACTTTTAAAGTTTTCGTATAAGTTCTTTCTGACTTTGTTTCATATCCCTTTTAAGGAAACATGCCAAACATCTATAAAAGCAAAGTCCATCTCCACGGACATCAATGAAGTGGGTGTTGGTCAACTGGCAATAATTGGCACCAGACGAACAATCAATGCAACCCAATGGTCTATGCAAACTAGGTAGATGTACGCCAGACCACGTCTCGCGTAACAGGCTTCGCGATATCTCACGAAACACTGTTACGCTGCGACGCGCCTGGCATACATCTACCTAGGCCTGCGGCGCTGACACCCGAGTCGGGCAAAAGAAAGAGTCGTAAATAGGCCTTCGGCCCCAAAAGTCACAATTATTGCCCCTCAGGGTTTTATTTTGATG